TAGAGTTGGAAGAGGATGGTGTATGTGAGAAATCACAAGGATAATAATAGGAGAAGTGATTAGGGATTGGAGTGTTTATTTTAATAATTTAGTATCTGTCATGATCCATTAATCTGGAGATTTAGAAGAGAAAGTGACAAATATAAGTGATGGTAATTAAACATCATTTGGAGTGTTAGAATCCATTAATCTGTAATTAGCATGCCATGAAAAGGTAGAGATCACAAGTTCAAATCATGGAAATAGTTTTCTCATCAAAGTGTTAGATTCAGCAGATTCCATCAGTAATTTATACTTCTGCTTGGGGTGTAATATTCTGATCTGAAACAACACATATGATGGTTTTTTCTCATTTGAATTTCCTTGTAGTAATAGTGCATTCTGTTTCTACAACAATCAAATGTTTCTTGTTTGTTTGTAATGTCCATATTGAAGCATGCATATGTAAATGTTAATATATAATCAAAATAACTCGTGTTAATTATGAGCTATACATTTTTCATCCAGGGACAAATATATATATAATCAAAATAGTTTTCTCATTATCTTTGGTTTCTTCTTTAATATATATATAGATTATTTCTTTTTTAAATTCTCATTCAGTATTTCTTAGTATGTTAATCGTAGAATTTTTCACAAAACCCCCAACCAAATTATGGGGCCCAATATTACAAGGGTTGTTGGTTTTTTGTTTTGTAAACTAGGTTTAGATAATGAGATTGATCCCTCAATAATGTTCAACATATATGCATCTCTATTATCTAACTTTACATTATAAACAAAACAGGACCTCCTAAAATAATTGGAACATCCAGCGTGTATTTACGTGTTTTCATTAAGTTGGCAAGCATTGATTGATTTATCACATTCACATATAAATACCTGATAAAGTTGTTTGTAGTTTAAGCAAGTATTCCATGGATACAATTATTACAACGAGCAATAGTTTTATAGAGAAAACGCTGAAAACAAACAAACGTCATGATCCTACTTTCCGATTTTTGAAAGCAGAAAATGTGCACCAAGTACTGTCCAATGACACCAACACATGGCAAGGATAAAACCAACGGTACTCTTGACTTCTCACATCATCTTACTCGGTATGAAGAAGCCAATGTACGATTCTATACATCATTTATCGACTTCATAACATTAATGGATCTACCTTACCAAGGTTCAACAATACTTTCTATTTTAATCCTATTCKTCTATAAACATATGCCACAAACATCATTTATTTACTTTACCAAGGTTCAACAATACTTTCTATTTATTTACTTATTTATCGACTTCATAACATTAATGGAATATCTATTTAAGTTCAAAAGTTATCTTTTCACTTTAGCAAGTAGCATTCGGGTTGGGTTTTTAAACATTTGTAATTACAAACCCCGTATGAGAACAAAAACAAAAACTCTTGAAAAGAGAAGGGAGGTTCCAACATACATAGAGGAAAAATGGTTCAAAGTTAGCAGATGCCCAATGGAAGCTAGATAGAACAGATTGTCCAATAGTATCAAGAGGGGCTAAACGAGTATAGATAGACCTTCGCTCTGATAGAACAGATTGTCCAAGAGTATCAAGAGGGGCTAGACGAGTATAGATAGCCCTTTCCTCTGATACCATGTGAGAATATATGGAACCCCATTAGATTACTCTTCAAAAAAAAAAAACCTTGAGGATAGAAGGGAGGTTCCCTACATATTCAACGGGGAAATGGTCCAAGTCTAGCCAATGCGGAAGTCTAACAAGTATAAACAACAAGTTCCAAAGTTCAATCGCAATATGTGTTAAGCTACAATATTGGTGTATTCTGTACTCTTTTAAGTTATATTCCACATAAATTCACACAATAAAAACGCAAGTTGAAGTTACAAACTACATACCATTCACATTGCCTCCTGATCTCAGTCAATACCCAAGCCAGAAAAGTGTTCAAAAGTCCCCTGTGCAACATAAAACACTAATCACTACTGCTGCAAATCAGACTTTCGACTAATAATCAACCCATCCAAGTGTACCAATAGTTGATGCAATTTTAGCTTTTATCGGCAATTTTGGTGAAAAACAGTTCTTGCAACCCCGCCATTTACATTTTCCATGATGGTATATGACAGTATGCTTAAGGGCCTTTAAGCAATGACCTTTCAATGTTAGCCATGACCTGAATTTGGCATACTTGTTCTCTTTTAGAGGTAGTTTTGTGGGATTTTGACTTGATATGTGATTATATGTTCTGCTATGTGGTAATTAAGGCTTGGGTTTTGTGGTAAAAAGGTTTATCAATTATAAAGACCAAACATAGCTCATATTCCTTGTACCTTAAAAGGGTAGAATTAAATATTCAAAACAAGATACTATAACTAATTGGCAACAGATCAGGCATGATGCGTTGATTAACTCTTTAATTTTAAGTGGACAGGGTATTGAAGTTCATATTGATTGTGTTGTGGTGGAAAAGCTGTTTATATTGAGTATCTTGCAATCATGATATCATGTACATGTTGCCTTGAAAGGTTTGTTTTCATTATTATCATGTACTAATAAATATAAAATCTATAATTGTTATACTAATAATGAAAATGATGAATGAAGGCGATGGTGGCAGCTCTGGGGAACTCAAAACAATATACATTGAAACAATACCTTGTGTTCGTGGAGAAACTTGAGGCAAAAGCAAAGGTTAGTAAAGTTTGACTACTACTACTACTAGTAGTAAAATGCATTTAGGTATGTATTGTATATAACTTTGAGGCAGCTATGGGGAACTCTATCAGTGAGCTTGACTACTACTACTACTAGTAGTAAAATGCAACATCTCCTTTTTACTGTTAGGTGTCCATAAGAAAATAGAATACTGAGTGCATTTAGGTATGTATTGTATATGCATTAGGAACTAAGTGCAATGGGGGAGGTATTCACAGCCTCGGTGCGATACCTCTAATTACAGACTAACAAATTAAAGGCCATGATGGATACCTCTAATCCGTAACCATTCAGCTTCTATTGTTCAACACACACAAATATGTAATTGTAGCAGAAGATAATTGATAGCCAAATAGATTATAATTAATCAGTAAAACATGAATCAACAAGAACCCTAGCAGATTCAATATCATGTTATTTATTGAAGAATCGCTAAATAGGCGTACCTGTTGTTCGAGGAATTGATGCAGAGAAGAGAAACCAATTCGATGATAGACGATTTAATCGATCAATTGGAGAGTAGACTGTGATCGACGAGTGATTGAGCGAAGATTGATTCGATGATAGACAAGAGGAAGCGATTAAACGAGAGGAAGCGATTAAACGAGAGGAAGCGATGAAGCTTCTGGTGATTTCATGAATGAGAGGACTTAAACATTTCAAGTACCTGGTGATGAAGCGATGAAGGGAGGATGAAGCGATGAAGGGATGAAGCGATGAAGGGAGGATGAAGCAAAGCGTATCTAAATATTATTTATTTAATTTTGATTTATTTTTAATACAAATCTTTTAGATACACTTTTAAAGGGTATCTAAATATTTTTATTTAATTTTAAAAAAAGTAAACTTTTTTTTAATCTTTAGATACACTTTTAAAGGGTAACTAAATATTTTTATTTAATTTTAAAAAATTAAAATTTTTTTTAATCTTTAGAGAAGTTTAAGAAAATGTTTCTAAAAATTGATGAAACTCTTTAGAGACATTTTTTTATAAAAGCTTCTCTAAAACTTTTAACGACATTTTTTATAACGTATAATTAGCYTATAAATCCTTCTTTAAATGTCGTCTAACCTTTAGTTACATTTCTCATTTTTGTCATTTAAATCCTTCTCTATATTATAGTTTTAGATACACTTTTAAAAGCTTCTCTAAAGATTTCTTCTCTAAAACTCATCCCTCTTGTAGTGATTTTGAGAGTATATCGATAAAATATAGGTACGTTTCACCATGTTCCGTGGAATAAGAGTGAAACACGTCTGTTCCACTTTGTTTCACTCTGATTCACATAAAGAACTTATCAAACATTGAACAATAATTTTTGTTCTGTTATGTCCAATATACCATACAAATCCCTAACGATGAGAGAGAAAATACGGGTGTTTGATAATGTATGGTATCAGTCTCTTTTCATATATTAATATACATAAATATATTTTCTTTAATGTGAATTCCTTTTACGATGACGACACTACAAAACGAACATGTTATTTATGCACTGAGTTTGGTCCCATGTTTTTCTTCTGGTTTGAAATAAATGCGTTTCCGTGTTGCACTTGCACCCATCACCATTAAGTCATGAACATGTGAGTTATGCACATACAGACTTTTATGTAAACCTTAGCTTAATTTTTCAGACAACATTCCCATAAGATTTTCTATATAAGTAGGTTTACAGATTCCAATTTCCTTATCTTGCAACCAAATACTCTTCTAGATACAATCACACTTACAAACCACACATTTTGTCTTCAAAAATGGCGTCTTCATTGACCACAATTGAAGCTTTAGTAGCCAAGCTGAAGGAGGAGATGTTTTCAAAACAGAAAAATGACCATCATCTTCACTACTCGTTCATTTCACCTTCTGCTTATGACACTGCATGGTTAGCCATGATTCCCAACCCACATGAACTTAATACACCTTTGTTTAAGGGTTGCATTGAATGGTTACTCAATAACCAAAATGAACAAGGGTATTGGGGAGAATCAGCGAATGGTGATCTTCCCACCATTGATGCACTTCCTGCTACTCTTGCTTGCATCGTTGTGCTCCAAAAATGGGGAATCGGTGCCAAAAACATAGAAAAAGGTATGTGGTTAATTAATCAACAAATGCATCAGAGTTAAATGATTATGTGCATGATCAAATACATCAACAAAAGAAAAGGCATCTATGAGAGGAAATGCCATACATTATGGATATGTAGTCCATCTATGCATTTTGATGTGATGTTTGTGTAGTTTCTCAATAAAATATACAGGCTGCATATCAAAGAATGACTGCTTCATTAAGCCCTTCACATTTGCTTTGCATATTTTCACGTAGTTAAGACGCTTTTGTAAATTTTGTTTGATAAAAACATGTCTGAATTATTAAAACTTGGTATTTTGCAGGTTTGGAATTTATACATGCAAACATGGAGAAGATTCTTCATGATCATCATTGTCTTCTTCCTCGATGGTTCTTCATTGTTTTCCCAGCAACCATTGAACTTGCAAAAGCCTCAGGTCTTGAGCTCAAGTTTTCTGATCACATGAAATCACTCATTTCTCAGATTTGTGCCGAAAACCAACAAATCCTTGGCATGTAAGCCTATGATCATTGCTCTTGTGGAGTTTTCTTTTCTGAATCATCAATACTCATACACTACAAAACAAATGACTTTTATCTACGAAAATTCCGTCAACGATTACTATGGATCACCCAGAAAATATCAATAATTCGGTAGAATCCGATATTTTTTTCAAGAAAATATCACCAGAGAATATAGAATACCTGTGTAATCCGTCACTAATTGGAATTACCCACCGAACTTTTGTGACGGTTCTGTGTTTAGCGACGGATTTCGTAGGGAAAAGTCTGTAGACATTTAGTAATGATATATGAGATCCTGAATAGCAAAAGATGTTGCAGGGAAGCCATGGTTGATAAATGCCACTACCCTCCATTGCTGGCCTACTTAGAGACGTTTCCATCAATGGGGCTCAAGGTTGACCAAGAGACCATAACAGAGCATTTGAGTAAAGATGGCTCACTTTTTCAATCACCCTCGGCTACCGCACAGGCATACATTTCTACTGGAAATAAAAAATGCCTTGATTATTTGATATCACTTGTTCAAAAGTATCCCAATGGAGGTAACTCAGTTTTCAATAAGCAAACTTCATCTAGTCCACAAGTAACTTAACCTAATTAAGGAAAGTGTGCTTAATTCGTATGTAATATTTCCTGCATAAATTAACAACTTTATTGCAGTTCCACAAATAATGGATGAACAACTAGTTGAACTCAGCATGGTTGATCAAGTGCAGAGGCTAGGCTTATATGAGTATTTTACTGATGAGATTGACAACATCCTCAAAAACGTTTACAGGTGATATATATGTGAAATTCCTCTGGAAAAGTTTGTTTTTTGCCACCCGCATTTTCGTTTGGCAAAAGTTAATCTTTTATATGTGGATTTTTTCTAAATCGCCCGTAAAAGTTACTTTTACCGACAGACTTCCCAAACCCGTTGCCAGAAATGCAGTTTCTTGAAGTATATCATATTCTTTAAAGTAAGATCAAAGATCACACACTTTCTTGACCTCTAGGGTTTTAAGATTTTGTCTAAATCGCCCGTAAAAGTTACTTTTACCGACAGACTTCCCAAACCCGTTGCCAGAAATGCAGTTTCTTGAAGTATATCATATTCTTTAAAGTAAGATCAAAGATCACACACTTTCTTGACCTCTAGGGTTTTAAGAAAAGTTAATTGTTCCAGAAGTTACATGGACCAAGAACTGGTGCAAGAAAACAAGAACTTCATACCAGCAAAATTGTACAAGGACTCGCTGGCATTTCGACTTTTTCGGCTGCATGGGTTTAATATTTCTCCAAGTAAGTATCTATTGGTTAATGGTTAGTAGTTCTATGCTCACCCTTTTCGATAAATAAAATGTACGTAGTCGATCAGTATCTTTATGAAGTAGTATTTCATCACCTACTTCTGTTGAAACCAACATTGTATATTTGTTTCAGAGACCTTTTGTTGGTTCTTATACGATGAAGAAATATTGGATCATTTGGAAAACAACTGTGGACGGTTCACAAGTTTACTATATACTGTTTATAAGGCAACAGACCTTATCTTCTTTGGAGAAAATGAAGCAGAAGAGGCCAGATCATTTTCCATGAAAATGCTTCAGAAAATTTCAACTATGAAAAACATAGTCGATGATGATGTGGTCATACTGCCCAATTTATCCAAAGTGGTAAGCACAGTCTTGATCTATTCTTACCATTTTTATGCCCACTGTTCTCTTCGCATAATCAGTTAACGTTTCGTATTTTGTAGATTGAGGAAGAGCTCAGCGTACCGTGGATCGCTAGACTTGATCATCTTGATCATAGGATGTGGATTGAACAAAACAAACAAGGACCAATGTGGATCGGGAAAGCTTCCTTTTATAGGTTATCATGTGTTCATAGTATGGGGCTAATAGAACTTGCTGTGGAAAACTATGCATTCAGGCAAATGATTTACCGAAATGAATTGAAGGAACTAAAAAGGTAAACCTAATAATTGTTCTACTATAAATGTTGCTTAGTAGATCTCCTTTTACAAATCCAAATAATTTTACAAACTTATAAATCATTTTTCATGTGTTGAAACAACACATCTGAAAGTGCAGTGTTTATACAATGTTGTTTCATACGTGAGATGTTCGGATTTTTTTTTCCCATACACAGAACAGTCATGAACGTTTTACATATGAAACAACATTGTATAAGCACGTGAAAACTGGTTTGTAAGTTTGTATAATTTATTGGGTTTGTAAATGATTATGCGTCTATATATATATATATGTATAGGCGAAAGATTGTTTTGGAACGACCCTTTTTTTCTGTTATAGTATGTTTATTGTAGGTCAATAATTGTGTAGGTGGTCCAAGGAGTGGGGTCTTACCGAAATGGGATTTGGTCGAGAGAAGACGATGTATTGCTACTTCGCCGTTGCAGCTAGTACTTCTTTGCCTCATGATTCTATTATAAGAATGCTTGTTGCAAAAAGTGCGATATTGATCACAGTTGCAGATGATTTTTTCGATATGAAAGGCTCTCTCGAGGAGTTACAAGTCTTGATTGAAGCTATTCACAAGTATGATCTTCTAGCTTTTCATCTTTTCTTATTACTGTGCTTAATTCTAACCTCTCTCTTCACGAACACGAAGTCCCTTGCTATGTGAACTCTAGTTTATGTAACATTCAGCCAATATGTCTTAAATGTTTCTGTTATTGTTGGCTTTCTAACTGCCAAAAGTTTGTATCTTCATGTGTGAATAATAGATGGGATGGTAAAGCCTTAAGTGGACCTAGCAAGGTCATTTTCGATGTGTTGGATGATCTTGTGAGATACGCTACCAACTCATTGGTCCTTGATGAAAAGATTGACGTAACAGAAGATTTTCGAGACCTTGTAAGTATAATGATTTCGTCATGTTTAAAATCAAAGAAATTTTAATGATTATAGGAAAGCTAGCTCTAATACACTTCCTCCTACAAATTTGAAGTGGAGGGAGACTTTCAACTCGTGGTTAACCGAAACTACATGGGGAAAGAGCGGTTACATGCCATCAGTCGATGAATACCTGCAAACTGGAATGATTTCCATCGCTACACATGTCTTGGTCCTCACTTCTTCGTGTTTCTTGAATCCAAGCTTATCGAAGAACAAAGTGAAGCCATCAACATATGAGAACATCACACAATCACTTATGGCTTCCGCTCGTTTGCTCAATGACATTCAAAGTCACCAGGTCATCCTTAATTAAAACCCCTTATCTCAAATATTTGGAGGTAGATGTAACAATATATACATGCTTACTTTCATTCACAATACTTATTAGCAGAAAGAACAAGAAGAAGGAAAAATGAACCTAGTGTTTCTTCACCTCAAAGAAAACCCAGAAGCAAGCATAGATGATTCAATTGATCAAGCACAAAGGTTGCTTGAGTGGAAAAGGAAAGAGTTGCTCAAGCATGTTTTCACCGATGATAATAGTGATTTTCCTAAGCAATGGAAATACCTTCATCTGTCATGCTTCAAGGTATTTCAAATGCTATTTAACTCGACCAACCTGTATGATACAGACGCGGAACTGCAACTAGACATAGAGAGAGCAATTTACATTGCTCCAGAATATGATCTTTCCCAATATTTGAAGCCAAAAACAGCGTCGAATCCATTGCCAGAAAAAACAGACTTGATTATCAATGCTAGATATCATCAAACTCCTCTTCGAAGCTATGGTCATGGTCGTATGAGCATTAGGTGTCATCGGCTTCCCGATCATGCCGTGAGAAATGTCACCTCCAACGTGTTTAAGTCACCAGGGTTTAGCTTACGCTTCATCTAAAATGATGATTGATAAAATGAGTCAAGATCATAACCTCAAGATAGCAAATAGTTCTCTTGTACCTGTTGGGCAAATCCAAAACGAAGATTTGAATATTGTATTTTAGTATAATCAGCATATGTTTGTAATCTACTAAAAGTTCTGTTGCAAAAATATGATTCCATTTAGACAGAATTTTTTCTGAAGAATTCGCCATGAGAACTTAAACTAGAGCCACTTTTGATTCTCCTGAAAACGTACGGGTCGAAATATGGCTTTCAAATTAAGTTTCGAATTAGTTTGGGTGCTACCAAATTCAAGACAGGAAAAGAAAACTTATACCCTTACATAAAGAGTCACAACTTATGACAAACCAAAAAAATTATATGGTTTTAAGAATGTGGTCTTTGAGTTTTAAGATATTCATGTTAAAACATGAACTCCGAGAAACCGCACTTTTGACTTGAGAAGTGCTTCTTTAATCGAATCAAGAGATCTCAACGTTTGAAATAAAAATGACATTGAGATGGTTGTTTAGTTATAACTCTTTCTGAATTATAAGATATTGGAGGATATTAAATTTGACCATATCTGGTCCGCTTTTGTTGCCAAACTATTAGGGATTATCATATAGTTTAGGGATTATGTTTAGGGATTATCATTATAGCTTTTCTTATTTTTTTCTCTTTCAATTTAGTATATGTATCTTGATAGTCTTTGAAGGAAAATCAATATAGAAACGAATTTTTTCATGGTATCAGAGTGGATACCTCTCATATATTCAAAACCCTAAAACCGTCGTTTGATCATGACTGACGGTAAAGAAAACACACGCAAAAACGAATGAGAGTCCATAGACTCAAACTCACCGTTCTATATACACGTTTCCGATTATCCTAAACAAATGCAGGTAAACGAAGCATTGACCGACTGCAAGTACAATGATTGGGCATAAGAGATGACGAATTTCTTGTTTGCCAAGAACAAAATTGGCTTCATCGATGGGTCAATAAAGAAACCAGAGAAGACTGCATCCAATTACATGGCCTGGATGCGTTGCGATGCAATGATAAAAGGCTGGCTCACTACGTCGATGGAGAAGGAAATACGTAGCAGTGTTAAGTATGCTAACAGTGCTGCGGAAATTCGAGATGACCTGAAGGAGAGGTTTGGCAAAGAAAGTGCACCAAGAGCCTATGAGTTGAAACAATTGCTCATGGTGACTCGACAAGACGGGACTTCCGTCTCAGCCTACTATACTAAATTACGTGGCCTATGGGACGAAATACAATCGGTTTTACCGATTCCTCATTGCACGTGTGAGGGATGTACGTGTGGGCTTGGGAAGAAACTTGTTGAACTCAAGGAAAAGGAAAGAACATACAAATTTTTTATGGGTCTTGACAGTGAATTTTCGGTGATTCGGACTCAGATTTTGGCAATGAAACCAACACCAAGCTTAGGGATGGCTTATCATCTAGTTGATGAAGATGAGCAATAGAGGGCTGTTTTCTTTGCTAAGAAAATGACTCAAGAAGCAGCTGTTTTTCAAGCTTTTGTTCCAGCAAAACGCAAAGGATAGCAGTAAAAAAAGGGGGGGGGCAGAACGTAGACAAAAGCTCCTTTAATAATAAAGTTGAGCATTGCATTTTTTGGAAGAGACGGGCACAACTGAGTAGGATGCTTCAAACGAATTGGGTACCCTGAATGGTGGCCTGGAAAAGCAAAAGGGGAGATGACAAAGCCTAAAGCTGCACTTGCTGAAACTGATTCGAGTCCTATCCCAGGAATAACAGAAGAGCAATATATGATGTTTGTTGAACACTTCAGTGGTAACGATGATACCGCTGGCTCAGAAACGAAGCTGAGGGCAAACATGGCCGGTAGTTTTGAATTAGATTGTGATTGGGTTGTTGACTCGGGGGCAACTGAACACATCACTTATCAAAATAATTTGCTTAAAAATATGACAAGAGATGCCCACGAGACACCCATCAGAATTCCTAATGGCGATGCCATTCCTGTAAAAGGGAAAGGTGAACTTCTTTTAAAGGGAACAACCATGTTAAAGGGAGTATTGTTTGCACCTAATCTCAAATGCAACCTTTTGTCCGTTCGTAGGTTAACAAGAGATCTACATTGTGCTGTCACGTTTTTTCCTGACTTCTTTGTCATGCAAGGCTTGGGGTCGAGGAGCTTGATTGGAGCGGGTAGGTGCAGTAGAGGTCTATATCGATTGGGGGGGGGGGGATAAAGGGAGAAAGAAAAGCGATGATGGTCACTGCTGATACATGGCATAAAAGGCTCGGTCATGCTTTCAATGTCAAACTTTCTTGGGTTAATTCTCTTACAAGTATTTATTTTGATTCAGAAAATAAAACTTGTGATTCTTGTATGAAGGCAAACAAGATAAACAAGATAAATAACTAAAATAATAAATAAGACAAGTAATTTTGGTGACACATAAAACCCCATCGAGGGTAAAAACCGTGGACGATAGTGGATATCGTTGATGCACTATGGACGTTAATCGGGGACGTTGTTCTCAATAACAAGGATTGCTATTACAGAATGTGACTGTTTACGTTGCTATGAATATAAACTATTAACAATGATTCTATTGGTGGGGAATTCTTCGAGAACACTGTTAGGACTGAAATTCAGTTTAAAATTGTTTTCGTCTTGAAAGTTAATTTTGTCTATAATTGTATTAAAAGTCACCGTGTTTGACTTTTCTTAGAGAATTTGACTTTGACTTTGTCTAGATATTTGACCCTATATAAAGGGTGAGTTCTTGTAATTTTAGGTAGGATTCTCGTATTGTAAAATCTGAATACGTAATAAAGGTTTGACTATATTTGGGGTGTTGACTTTCTCTTTCAACTCTCATATGTTCTTAAAAGAGATATCAAGATCTGCCATTGATGAATGTTTGAAGCTTTAATGAAGATTGATTGTTAGGGACAAACAAACACTTCAGAGTAGATTCGGTATTGATTTCTTCTATTGAATGACTTTTGAGTCATTTTATAGGTAGCTTTTATTACGGTTGTCTTTAATTGAAATAACTCCAGTAATAGTCATGTCTTGGATGTTAGTCATCGATTATGTTTGAAGTGTTAATGAGGTGCGTCTCGATCATAAATCTGCAATTACACATAAGACTTATCATGAAAGAAGAATAACAGTTGTCAGAGATAATTAGGCGTTAGTGTTAGTCGTGGATAACTACAATCTAGGTTGTTGATGATCGTTTGTTGTGGATATTAGCATTGTCGGTAATATTGCAACCGGTCGATGATGGTAGCTCTGTCGGATATAATATCCTCGACGGTCGAGCATACGGAATTTTACCCAAACAATTACATTTGAAAGCTCGTCGCTTCGATGCATGACACCTGTCCAAAATGGTTTGTAGACTTCAGCCGATAGACGATGCGTGTTGACTACCTGTTGTCATGACACGCAACATCATGTACACGTACGACTACCAGACCACATAAATCGCCGATTCACTAACTTTTGGAGCGAAATTTGAAATTTAAACAAGTTTTGAAATTCAAATCCCGAGCGTGTTTGGGTGAAAATTCACAAGTCCAACTGGCACTAACGTCATCAATTGGTTGTCAATATTGCTAACGACACTAACATTCTCAACGAATGGTCACCAATATTGCTAACGACACTAACATCCTCAACAAATGGTCACCAATAATAAAGATCATTATTATTTAACCAGGACTAACGTTAATACTTAATTATCCTCGACAGTAGTTATCTTTCCTATTTATCGCATGTCCTACATGTAATGGAGAATTCATGTCCAAGATTCGTTCACATCAAACATAACCGACGACCAACCTTCAAGACACGACATTTACTGTTATTATTGCAATTTAAAACAGTTATAATAAAGACTACCTATAAGAGGGACCAAAGGGTATTCGGCCTAACGGTATCGTAGCCCTTGGCTTCCTAGGAGGTCAAGGGTTCAAACTTCACCAAATGTGAGGAGAGTGTGTGAGTTTATTTGTTGCATTTGCCGTATATAAATATTATATACTTAAAAGGGGGGAGGGGGGGGGGGTTTCAAGGCATCGCTATCAAATTAACTCAAAAAAGTGCTCTCAAATAATATTCTAGCTATTGGAATAGTTGCTCAAGTTTACCCGGTATACCTCGAATTAATTAATTTTGTAACATTAATTGTTGTTATTAAGGATGACATTAGTGATTACGACGTTATTGATTGATGTCCCTAGAGCATCGATAATATCCACGATCGTTTTCGGTTTTTATCGTCGAAGGGGTTTTCTGCGTCACCAAAATCGTTTGTGTTATCTAATTTTTTAGCTATTTATCTTATTTATTTCAAAGGTACAACCTTTAGTTGATTAAGCTCCAAAATCCAAACCTTAAATTGCTTAGTGTGATTTTTGCGCATAAACAAATACCGTTTTAGAGTTTTCTTTAATATTTGAGGAAAAATTTTCTTGAGCTTTAGAGATATCTTATGCAAAATTAGTAGTGCTCTTATTATATGGGTTACGAGAATAATTGTTTTTGATATTATGAGCAATGACGATCGTATTTGTCAAATCCCAAATTTACCCTTAGATTGGACTAAGGGGGTGTTTGGGGTTGCTTATTTGAAACAACTTATGCTTTTCTACAAAAATACTTGTCAACTTATTATAAGTCAGAAGAGTTTAACTCCTTTAAAAACTTCTTATTACCGATTTGACACCAGTATAAGTTGTTTATCCAAACACTCAAAAGTGCTTATTACCGGTGTCACACCGGAATAAGTCAATAAGTTGTTTTTATAAGCAATCCCAAACACCCCTAAATTGAGTACCAAAATTTTGACAAATGTTGAACTACTAAACCAGTCTAAAAATGTAATTCTCTAACCAAGAATCAAACTCAAGATACCAGTTACGATCCGAGTTGGTTCAATCTCGTTTCAGTTTTTCAATTTATGTCGGTCGAAATCAGTTTTTGCTAATTCATCTTGGTTTAACATATGAAAGACAAGGCGAAAGATCATATAATAAAGGAAGTTATGGTGAGAAGCTTAAAAAAAATCTGGACCATTAATCAGTTTTAATCTAATGTTCACCCATGAATTATGCTTTAAAAATAGAATTCATCTGGTGCATATCGGTGCACTTTATTAGTGTTAACATTCAATTATGATTGATCTAAAGGTGATAATTTTTTCTTACGCTTTTAACTTCCCCTCTTACTGGAACCCAAATTTTATAAACGCAAGTTTCATTGTCACCGGAACCCAACTCAAAAGGAAAAAAAGGTTGTTAAAATATTTTGAATATTTACAATGAAGCCTGTATAGTATTTATTTTCTTACATTCAACCCCTCCAACTTCTATATTCTTTCTTCATGATCTCTGTAACATTCAACCCGAATTCTTCTAGAGAGAGAAAGTAGAGAGAGAGAGAGAGGATGAGCAGCACACAGTCGTCACACTCGCTAGCATTCAGGGTGATGCGGCTATGCCGGCCGACGTTCCACGTCGAAACCCCACTCCGATTCGACCTCACCGATCTCATCATTGGTGAGGATCTCCTCGACGATCCATCCGCCGCACCTCACCTCCTCCGTCTCCTCCAATCCCAGTCCACAGCTATTGACTCCTCCACTGATCTTACCTACAGTAATCGGTTCCTCCTTCGTGATGGTCTCTCCGATGCCATGGGCCTTCCCGGTATGCTTGTCCTCCCTCAAGCATTCGGGTAAGAGTCATCTTTTACACGCAATTAACTAAACAGTCGTCACTGCTCTTTTACATAGGTTATATCTTCGTGAAAAACTTGTTCTTCTGAATACAAAATTGTTACGAATTTTGTTGCTATTTAAGACCGTTTGTTTACTTTTTTTGTGATTGTTGATATGAAAAGTTGATGCAGTTCTACTTCCCCCAAAGATAGCAGCTTATTTCTTAGCATTGCCTCTGATTTGAGTTTCATGTCAAAACTGTCATTCTGTGATCCTTTCCTTGTACGTATTTAAGAAAAATTAAATTCTAAATCCTGGTGCTTGATGTGAAGTTCAATACAGCCTCAAGCTTTTGTCGGGGAATCTTCCACTTTCTGAGCTAGTTGAGACTTGTGAAAGTGAACAGCTCTGATCAAATCTTCAGGAGAGCTTACTCTTCGTTTCTTCATAAGAAAAAGAAAAAGAATCCATTTTCTTTTAAGATTTCATGTGGCTTTTGAAGTTGCAAGATTAGTTTAGTGAATCTCAAACCTCGCAACACCCGATTTTTTTGGGACTGATGAAGTATAATTCTGTTAAATTGGATGCATGTTAGTGAGATTTTGTTTGATCTGTTTGTGTGGGTTTTTAGGGCCATATATCTTGGAGAAACATTTTGTAGCTATATAAGCATCAACAACAGCTCCAGTTTTGAAGTGAGGGACATTATAATAAAGGTGATGTTTCTGCTGTGAAAACCCCTTAATTTCATTTGGTCATCTTAATTTTAGCATCATGTACAGTGTTTAGGAGATTGCAAAACTTGAGAAGCTTTTTTTTCGGTGTATTATTAGCATCTGCTCAAAGATCGCAAAGTATATTCTGAAAAAAGAATATGTGCCCACAAGGGACATTGGTGTCCCGTTCAACTTCTTTTTTGTGGTTTTTTATATCTGAGCCGTCCTATGCAGAGCATTGAAAAAAAGAAAGATACTGGAAACTAAAATTACCTATGTCAGAAGTGAATATGGTGTGACAAAAGCCAAATAGGGTCTGTTTGATAAACATACAACCTCAAAACCCTAGTTGTCAAATTTATATGATCTGGATTTGAATCTTACAATTCAAGTTGTTTCATGAAGCACACACTATGAATCCCAGGTCTCAGACTTGGTACAACCCAAGGTCATCATTCCTGAATCAGCGCAGGGAAAAATCCGCAAGTAAAGTAAATGAGTTAGGAAACTGAGTGCCATCCGAGAATCTTCTTAGTCATATGTGAAGAATCTTGTTTGAGTCACCATCTTATTGCCAAATGAAATTGTATTATATGATTCTATGCAATTTACTCTAGAACTCTTACCTTATCAATGTTGTATTGTTGATTTTCTGTATTTATAGCATACAAATAGAAATGTTCTTTTGTTGGTGTCAGTGACGTTCTAACAAGTGATGAATGGGATATCATGTTTTTGTGACCAACAGTATGTATTGGTTTGTGCATCATTGGCGTGCTTATTTTTTGTGTTTTGCATAAGTACTATATAATATGGTACAAAAAGTTGAAGTAAATCTTTATTATGATTCATGAATTGATAATCATGCTTGAAACCAATAAAACTCATAATTATGGCAATGAGTTTTGAATTGATGCTGATAATGCAATTTAACTTTTATCTAATTGCTAGTTCAGCTTAAGAAAATATAAATAATTATTGAACTGATTGATTTGACCACAGGCAGAAATACAAACGGAAAGGCAGAGGATACTGCTTTTAGATACTACCAAAACACCTGTTGAGACGATAAGAGCAGGAGGACGCTACGATTTCATTGTTGAGCATGATGTCAAAGAGCTTGGGCCACACACGTATGTCATATATTTTCAGGGTGATGTCAGATTTAAAGTTGCTAATGTGCTTTGGTTTTATTCTATCATACAATTGTATTCTAATCTCACCATCTACCTGTTGTTTGCAATCAGCCTGGTCTGTACTGCTCTATATAGCGATGGTGATTCTGAGCGGAAATATCTCCCTCAGTATTTCAAGTTTATAGTTTCAAATCCACTTTCTGTCAGGACAAAGGTACCACTCTTAACTCCTGAAATTTAGGCCAAAGAAGTGTTGATCTTAAAATAGGTCTTGCGGATCTTGTCATTACATCAGTCTACATCTTCAGACATATTGATGTTGCATACTTTCTTGTGCAGGTCCGTGTTGTGAAGGTAAGTTGGCTTGGTTAAAAGTACGTAGGCGCAAGTCCGTAATCTGCCTATGTAAATGCTTAAACATTTCAAGACTTGGTATAGATACTTTTCTTTTTTTGTGTATTGTGAGTCGCATAAGTTGTTATGCTAGTTGAACACCTCCTAAAACTGGAAAATCTCTGGTCTCACAGAATGCAGGCCATTTTAGATATTGAAGCTGAGGAGCATATGCAGCTGAGTTCAACCATTGCCTAATTCATATGTTTAACAATTAGATTTTGTATCAATTTGCATTTTGGCAAATATGATATAGCGACAATAGGCGGCAGATTTACCTGTGATTATTATTGCTGTCTTCATTGTTTTTTGGAACAGAAGTTATCATCTTTACTATCAAATCAGTTAAATTACATGCATGATCAAGTCAATGTGGGCATTAATTGTGGTGCAATAGCGGATTGCGGTCCTGGGGAGAATAACCGTTCCAAAATAGCGGTGGTTTGTAGCGGTGCCGCAAATAGCAGCTCCATTCACCGCTATTGCACCGAGATTTGGTTTTGCAATAGCGGTCCGCTATATCGCTATAATTAAGTCCATGGGCCTTCAAGTTTTTAGAACATTTGGAGTTCTATTGATAATAGTTTATGGTCTTCTACTTTAATATCCTTGAGCCAGACATTTTAGAGTTTAGTTTGACCTAATAAATTAAGTCCATCGTCCCTCCTTTCTCAGTTTCATCGACTGAACTGAATGAAGTATTGTATGAATGCTTTCAAGCTCGGCTGCTGTTGCTCGACCCAAGCTAATCGACTCCACTCCTCAACCTCGACTACACTCCTTGACTCCGACCTTGACCTAACGACTTGATCATTCCAGCCTTCTCAGTTCTTACTTCACTTCTGCCCTGTTTCTGACTTCTAAATTCTGAACTGGGTTGCAATTAGCACATTTAGTCATTTATGAGCTCTATAAACTCTATTACTATGTTGCTTGTGTGGTTTGAAACTGATTGAATTGTTTGACTTTATATGTATTAGGCATACAGTATAGTAAGTTATATAACTAGTATTTAATTTATGAACCTATTTTTTTACCGCTATCTAACCGCGATAACCGCAATTGCAAATCAAGGTCCCGACCGCTATTTCCAAATCGACCTTGTTAACTGCTTAGGTCAATGGTATTTGTTTTTTTGACATTTTCTTGTGATCATTGATTGCCTTCTCCGTCTCAGGAAATCACTTACTTGGAGGCTTGTCTAGAAAATAATACAAAATCAAACCTGTATATGGACCAAGTGGATTTTGAGCCAACCCCACAATGGAGTGCGACGTTACTAAAAGCTGATGACCACCATTCTGAGAAGGATGCTTTGACGAGGTTGCATGAATTAATAAAATTATTGTACACTAATGCGATTGTAGTTACCAAGTGAATGCTAATTTTCAATACAACCAACTTACACTTTAACTTTAATCTCGAGCACAACAGAGAGGTATTCAAGCCACCCATTCTCATTAGATCTGGGGGAGGAATTCACAACTATCTCTACCAATTAAAATCGTCAATGGATGGATCTGCACCAACAAAATTTGAGGGGAGTAATGTCCTTGGTAAACTTCAAATAACATGGCGTACAAATCTGGGGGAACCTGGGCGCTTGCAAACACAACAGATAATTGGCAATGTAAGTCGACTTGCTTGAAAACAACCTTAACAATGCTACTTTCTCTGGTAGACTCTTTAAGTCTTCAACATATTTGTATCTTTTGTCACCGTGGTCAAGCGGATGCAATTGCTATATATAGGGTGCACTTTGCTTTGTATGCTTTTAGAGCTTTGCCATCACGAGCTCTGGTTCGTAGCATGGTGGAGTAGTAATATAATGCTTTGGCATCTCAATTTGTAATAGACTCTTTGATTGTAATGCCATAGAGTGGGTTGTACCAGTTACCTTTCCAACGTCAAACTAGGTCCTAAATATTTTCATTATAGAGTTTGTGGCAACTAGCTGGGTCAAATCAAATGACCTAGTTGTTTCTTTAATATTATAACACCTGACGAGGTTTCTTCAGATCTGATTATGTTTTTCATCATTGTGTAGCCCATCACACACAAAGAAGTTGAACTGAAAGCAATGCAGGTGCCATCTGTCATCATCTTGGAAAAACCCTTCACAGTAAGTAATGCTTTTCCTCGTAATTATGTATGTATGTTTAATTACTGAGTTCAGATAACAGGTAATAGTTAACTGTTTCTCTTCTTGACTTTTTTGGATCATTTCCCCCCTGCGCAACTAGTTTGGGATAAAGGCTTCTTGATGTGATCAATTCAGTTTTTAAACCTTAAGGGGAAAAGAAGCTATGCAGTTAATTGCGGTGCTATAGCAGTGAAATAGGGATTAGCAGTCCTAGGGGAAAAAGCAATGAGAAATAGCGATGGGAAATGGCGGCGCTAATCACCGCAATTGGGCCATTTTGATTTGCAATAGGTGTGTGAAAACCGTAATTAGGAGTTGGGCTTACAGTTGGCCTTTTAGGGGGCTGATTTTGATTTGCAATATTGGTGTGTACACTTGATATTCCTCTCCCATCTCTTCTATTCCAGTCTACTATTCTGCATCTTCTCTTCACGACAACATTGTCTTCCAACATAGATTGCTCGTCATCTCTTCTATTCACATGTTCTTCTGATCATCTTCAAAATATATATTATGTTATGTATACGTTTACATATAATTGTAATTATTATATGAACCTCTATATCACCGCTTTACCATTGTGATAGCCGTTATGCCAAATCACGATCCTGCAACCGCTGTTTCAGATTTTGACCGCTATAACAATTATATACAGCAAAGGCTAGGACTTTCTGGGGTGACATTCAAAGTGAACCGCCAATGGAAAAAGGAGGTTGGTCGAGGCAAAGGGGAATGGTTGTGTTGGTGAACAACCACCTCATGCCCCTATCACTTTTCTCACCACTCTCTCTGCCATTACTATCGTCATCATCGGCATTTTTTCTGTTGTCGTCTCCTCTACCGTCGTTCAGGACACACCAAAAAAATTGGTTGCTGGAACCCAGGCCTAGTTGAGAATAAAAAACCGATATCACAATCAAGCCCAATTCTATAATGTTGATTTGGCCCAAGCTTGTACCAAACTTAACACAGACCCTAATTTTCACGTCAGACCTCGTTTCATCATCCATTAATCGGAGAGGTTGGTTGGCCAATGTTTATCAGAAACTTCCACCATCAATTTCCTACTATTCCTCGTCCACACCTTCAAGTTCTATTCCAGGATTTATGCCAAATTCGACGAAATTTGAGAAGGTTGGCTAACCGCCACCACCATGGTTGCATTTACTGTTGCCACTGTACTCATCACCGTTCTCACCACTATCATTGACGTTCTCCCAACCACTGCTATTGTTATTCCTAAAATGGGGGAAATTCATTAAGAAATTAGAGGAGAAGACTGCGATGGAAGAAAACACAGAACAACTGGACGGTGGTGGAGCTGTAGTCGTGGAACCACAAATCAAGGTACACCTAAACTCTGTGATAGGGTTAATTAATCCAAAAACAATGATGTTAGTGGGCATTATTGAGGGGTTATGTGTAGTGGTACTACTCATTGATAACATTGAGATGGATACCCACCGTTATATATATATATATATATATATATATATTTTTTTTTGATTAGCCTGGATATCCAACCCGCTATGCAAGCCGACTAATCCCAGGGCGACTACCTGCTTTGCAGATAGCCCGGAGTCACCGCATTTGAACCTCCGTGGCCACAAGGGGATTTTTATTCCTCCTTGGATTTGAACCTGGGACCTCCTAGTACTTTTGACCTTTGGAGCCACGCTCAAACCAATCAGGCACCACCCTTGTGGTTCACCGTTATATTTGTAAAAAGGATGGGAACAAAATGGGTGACAACTACGTGGATTTTGCACTTATATTTTTTATTTTAATGGTGATTGTTGTATGTTGTTGTACATTTGGCCTAGTCTATCCAACTGCTGCTGGGATACATAAGTTGATTTTGGTTGAAAATAGAAGAGTAATGGTTGTGAAAGGGGGTTATCATCCCAATCAATATTGAAAAGTTGTTAGGGAGTCTAGAAGAGAAGGCAAAGAATGGTATCGTGGAAGTTACAGATTCTTTAAAGAGTGGAGGAGAGGAACGCTGCACTTGTAAGGAAAAAAGTTTTAGTGGAAGGGGAAATAAGAAAATCAATTGGGAATAAAATGGGTAGTGGGTGGGAAAATAAAAAGTCCATTGGGTATAAATACGAAGGGAAATCACTGGTAAACGGGCTGCTGGGCAGGTTCTTTGGATAAAATTAGTTTTCCACAATATGATTACATGGGGAGTCAGAAGTGGTGAAATATTGGAAGTTAATAGAGAATGAGTTGGCATTAGAGATTGAAAAAACTGAAGGCGTTCAGGTTGAAGAACTCGAATTTTTGGAGTGGCAAAAAGGCAAAATCAGGGGTTGGTGAACCAAACTCACCGAGTTCAATGGCGATGGCATGAGGAAGTCAGGTACAGTGGCAAAATCTTGGAGGGTATCCGATAGCGATCTATGTAAATGCCAAGCTCAATATCGATGGGGGGAATTGGCGATAAGGAGAGGTTGGTTGGAAGATGCTCGTCAGGAATCGCCGCTACCACCACCACCACCACCACCACCACCACAACTAGGGGGTTTTGATATAAAGAGTTTGAATCAATTGCTCAAATTTTTTCCACCTTGAGGACAAGGTGCGGGTTCGGGGGCGGGTATTGTTATACCTAGGTATGGAAGTCAACTGGTCAATATTGGTTGGTGGGTAGGAGAGTTGGCAGGCTGGGGGTAGTATAACTAAAGTAGGTGGCTGTTAGTTAAGGGCATTCTGTTTTTGTCAACACAATTGAGCGGTAAACGGTTTTGGGAGAGTCCTAGGCCTCTCAAATGCCTGTGGAAATTGTAATCATTTGGCTATTTCAAGTAATCCCACCGATTTGGGCATTAGTGTATAACAAAAACCTTGAATCCTCTGTGTCCAAAACTTGAAAAGAAAAGTAAACACTTGACATGGACATGCAGCAGTTTGAAAGGAAAAGGAAATGGAAAAATATAGGAGATAAAATCAAGGAAACACAATGAAGCCTGTGGGAAATTAAACCTAAGAGCTAGCGAGCACAAAGGAAGGATGCTTGGATTTGCCATTTTTTTTTTAAAAACTAAAAATTTTGGTGCATCAGACTTGTATCTTTGTTCAATAAAGTAGATATACATCAAATTCTCTCGGATGTCACATCATAACAAAAACAAGCAAACCAGAAATACTGGGAAAATACTGAACAGGAAACAAAAGGCATGCAGGTGCAGAGATGTACAGCCAACAAGCAGACAGCATAAACAAGCAATGAAGTATAAATATAAACTTATACAGAAGAACAAAAGCAAGGGAGATTGATGCGTAACATAAAGTGTGATGTAGGAGATTAGATAACAAAACAGCAGAACACTAATTATCTGTCGACAATAAGTGTGAATATTTTATGTTTTCAGAAGATCAAAGTAAGCTCTATGATTTCTTTTTGAACTTGATTTCAAGCTTTGAAACCAGAATTCAAAATGACAAAAAGAGGTCAAACTCAAAGGACTTGAACCGTTCAAGAAACAATGAAAACTGTATCTCGCCTGCACCCATGCAATATGAGCCCCAAATGATCTGAATTGTAGCCACACCTGATTCAGTACCCTTATTTAAAGATTATGATTTTACTAGATAATAGGAAGGCGTCACATCCAAGCTGACCTCCAATGTGCTCTGCACCCTGTTTGCATACGGAACTCAGCTCTAAGCTAATTGCCTAAGAGACAAGATCACATGAGATAGAGGGTGGTAGTTGCAGTATCAGCTGCTATCAGAAAAGAACACATTTTTTGTGGAGAGTGAACATAACGATGGTGGAAGGATGGACGGAAGGCAGATTCTCATTGTGAAATGAAAATTAACAGTAAATGATGTGCACTAGAAATGTGATCGTAGCCTAGCCATGCTGCGACCAAGATGAATAGAAGTTGTCTGTTATGAACAGAATAACAAACAAATACAGTAACAGAACAGATGCCTGACCGAATTGTATTTGCTTGAACCAAATGAACCAGAAAACAATGATAATGACAATGAATGGAACTTCTAGCAATTCGAGAGGCCAGTCTCTCCTATATGAGAAGGCTAATAATCTGGATACGTACTAAGGCTACTGCCCTATTATTTATACTAGCCAAAACAGACTAAATACAGGCAAGACCCCTCTCTAACCTCTTCTAGAATCTATAAGGTACTGATGGGCCTGGGCTAGGGTCAATGCATAACATTGTCCACTTATAAGTTATGCTGTTTTCTCATTTGCCTTTTCTACTACACTAAGAGAGGGAAGCAGGAATGGTGTCATGTATTATAATATGGATGATTTTTCATGAGCTTTGAATGGGATGCCAGATGTTCTTATGTTAACTAGCACTTGTGATGTAGAAATTTCACTAAAAATTAAATATCACTGTAATGACATTTGAAATTGACAAAAGAATAATGAAGATTTCATGTAGGTACATGGAAGAAAGTGTACATGTTAAGGCACACATACATTCACGGGTACAGAGATGAGAAGATTTTCAAGGTATAGATATAGAAGATTTTCAGGGGTGTGGATATAGAAGATTCCAAGCCAGAATGTAACCTTTTGCATAGTTGACAGAGAATATATGAACCAATAGATAGAGGTTTTTGGCAGAAAAGTATTTTTAGTTGGTCGGTCCATTATAAGCAATGTTTTGGTTGCTAGTATTATTCAGGCTCTTTTAATCTATTTGAATATTCATTTTTATTTGATGTGCCTATTTGAAATTTAACACTCCACTTTGAGGTTTCTGTAGGTATGCTTGAGTCTCACAAACCTGACCGAGAAGAATCTTGGCCCATTCGAAGTTTTGTTATCTCTAACTGATAACCAAGAGGAAAAAGCTGTAATGGTTAATGGACTTAAAAGGATGGTAAGTGTTTGCTGGATTTCTGTGATATGTATGGTTCATTACTGGTAACTCTTCTTGTTGGAAGATTTTGGTAATTAATAATTTAATGGCTACTAATTGCAATATCTTTCTGGTTAGGTTCTAATGGCTTCATTTTCGATTCATGTGCATCATTCTTTTCTTCATCCTAGATTCTTCAGAAAGTGATTACTAAGAATATATGTATTTGGCACCAATGTTAATCTCATAGAAGCATGCTTTAGGCTTTATGGCGCTAATATGCAATACAACTTTATTGTGCAGGATTTACCTCAGGTGGAGGCATTTGAATCTCTGGATTTTAAACTGGTATATGCTGTACTTATCTTTTAGGTTTTCTTTTCTGCAACATTCAGCAAAGCCTTGTAGTGGAACTCTTGAGTTCATCACGAATGTGATAAACAAAACATGGTTTGAACATTCTGGTTGCATACATATTTAATGTCAAATTCACCAATTACAGGATGGTGATTATAAACTTGAAATATGGTTATCAGTTACCTAAATGAACTTGTATCTAGATTTTCAATTTTATCTCATTTGCATTTCTCTCTTTCGCACACTTTTCACATCAACTACTGTTTGAGGTAGAGGCCAAGTGTGCGTACATATTACCCTCCTAGATCCTGCCTCCAGGGTTGGGTTGGGTTACCTAAATAAACGTTTGTACTTAACGTCATTGTTTATTGCTTTTTTAATCAATGTTAGTTTGTATTCTTGTTTTCGTTTTTTGCAGAGCCTGATTGCTGTGGAACTTGGAATGCAGAAAATTAGTGGCATTACACTGTTCAATACGATGGAGAAGAAAAGTTACGATCCTTTGCCAGATGTGGAGGTCAGTTCACATACTAGCTTATCACCTGTTGTTTTTAGTTCTCATCTCCATCATCTGACATTAAAAGTCTGTAATTTACAAAGGAAAAAAAGGTTTTGTATATTTATTAGAGGGAGGGAGCATTACAGAGAGAAAATAACCCAAACTTAGGAGTTTTTTACTAAACGCTTATCCGGTAAGTGCTTACCGGGCCATTTACCTTACCGGATAAACATGGCAAGGGCCAAGAATCTTACTTGGTAAGAACGATGATAAGGATGGAGAGGCTTACCCGGGTAAATTGTCGCATATGATACCGTTTTAATGGACTACATTCTTACCCAGTAAAGTAAATTATAGCATTGACTCTTATCGATAAGGCCATAAGGGCATAAACGGCCCCTTAATGGTTAAAAAAGATACAAATGTAGTGCGTAGGTATTTTGATTTTCTATATGATTCTTCCTTAGCTACCTCACAACTTGTTTGTAATTAAGCTTATGTTCCTCTCTTTTGTTAGTTATACATCTTCATTTTTCCTCACTCTACTAGATTGGATTGGACCCAAAAGCATATTTTCATTTCCTCCTATGCTAATATCATTATTATCAAAGTAAATGTCCACAATGAAAAATTCATACAGTCTTAGAAATGTGTAATTATTTATTACATCGTTTAATCAACTAAATAACAATTTTACCTCTTATAGTAGAGGTAGCAATGAATTTCTCCATCTTATAATTAAGGATAGAATTGGAAAGGAGTTTGGAACAAACTAAAATAGAAATGTGGACAATTATTTTGGAACGAGTATACCTATATCTATTTTGTGGGCCCCTTAATGATATATACATTAGTTTATTTGTGGGTGCCACAACAGGAGAAATGAAGTTGCAACCCTGGCTTAGGGGCCGTTACCCAAATGCTTACTCGATAAGTGCTTACCAGTAGAAATCAACATTATAATTTATTTTTATCGATAAGATTGTAGTACATCAAAAGGGTATCTTATGCAACAATTTACCCGGTAAGCGCTTACCCAGGTAAGAGTCGTCACCCTCACTTACCGGGTAAGACTCTCCATGATAATCATCGCTCTTACCGGGTAAGATTCTTGGCCCTTGCTATGTTAATCCGGTGAGGAAAAATGTCCGGTAAGCACTTACCGGGTAAGCATTTAGTAAACGGCCCCTTGGTACCATTTACTTGATGCAAGAATAAGTGGGTGGTATATGAAGGAAAATTGTATAAGTGAATGAAACCTAAATGTTTAAAACAAAAAACAAACAGTAACTAATTTCATTTCTTTATATAGAATATGTATGATGTAACAAATTAATTGTTCCGAATCTACCCTTTTCAACATACTGCACTGCCTGCAGATTTTCGTTGATGCGTAATGATGCCAAAAGTTGAGGGCTACCTGTACAATCACATACGGTTAGAGAATACGGCTGCTTTTTGGGTTTCCAGGTCAGCTTGCGTGCACCTCGACTAATCCCCTGTATTGAAGTTCTAGAAAAACTAGTGTTGAGAACATTTTAATTAACAATTCTTTAGACATATTAGTTGCCTGATGAATGAGATAATGATCCATTTGTTGGATCACAACTTGTGTACCCTAGACTTAGATTTTTCTCATCGTGTATTTTACGAGATCGAAATTATCCCAAACCGCAGTATCTGTTTACTAATTCTCAACTTGGAGCATCAAGATATCGGATGCCCAACTTGCAGAGAAAGTAGTCAAAACCGTGATTTTGTATGGAAAAAATTCTTATCCGATAAACGCTTGTCGGGTAACAAACACTTATCAAAATCGCGTTTTGATAGCCAAAAAGGTTATCTGATAAGGGAAGTGAGGCTGGTACTTCTTGCCGGTAAGCGTTTGTTAAAAGCCCCTTGGTGTGTATTTGGCTTCTTGTTTTCAATAATTTAGTTTTTCAGATCTTCCATAAATTATTTAATATGGACCAAGATAATATGTGTATTTTTTTTTTCTTTTATCGTCCTCCGTAAAAAAAAAACTCGTACTTAAGAGAAAAAGAAGGTTCCAACATATACTAAAAAAGAAATTAATGGTCCAACTGTAGACAATCGCCTCTAATTGAGGTTAAAAGCCATATAGTGTTAAGAGGGGGCAAGAGTTGGTAGACGAGTACAAATTGCCCTACAATGTCGTTTAAGTCTTTATATTGTAGACATTGGTATATCTAGATATTGTATGCAAATATGTGAAATTAACCCCATTAAATTACTCTGCAAAAAAAGCTCTTAGAAAAGAAATTATGTTCCAGCATATATTGCTAAAAATAGTTCAAATCTAGTCGACGTGAGACTAACAATCCCTGTTGTTCGGCTGGTTGATCACTAAGAGCATCTCCAATGGTAAAAGTAATGACTTGATGAAAAGGTTAACCATTGGAGCAATAACTTGAAGAAAGGCTTTAAATTCAATAATGCTTCATTTATTAAATACATAAAATGAAATTATTATTATTATTATTTTTAACAAAATACATTATTGGAAAGCGCTTGTAAAGAAGATCAAAATGACATCAATATCGAATATTAAAAAACATAAAAATTTAATATTTTTGTTTCTGGAAATCATAGTTTTAAGTATATATATATATATACAGAAAAGTAACAAGTTATTAGGTTTAGGTCTAGTTTTTCAATATCGTACTGTAATATTTGTATTAAATTGCATGTTATCGTTAAATATTATTTGTTTTAAAAAACGTATTTGGGCTTAAAATAACGACAAATTATAGGAGTTTTATGAAACATTTCAAATAAATAAGATAATTTATGTATGTTTATTAAAAATTAATTAAAAATATAAAAAATGCTTTTAAGTCTTGGAGTAAATATTTGAAGATGGATTTTTAATTAATGGAAATCTGATATGACAAATAGATCAAATCTTTTAAAGAGTTAACCTTTACGGATGCTAAGTTGACAAAGTAATGCAGATTTTGTTACTGTTTTGGCTTGTTGGATGCCACTTGACAGTTAAATAAAATTGTTCTGATTTGGACTGGTGTTGCCTAGTTTTAAAGCATAATCTCTCTGATTCAAAATAGTTGTTTATTTTTATATTTTTTAGTTTGTATTAAACTAAATGTTCTCAATTTTTTACAGTAAATGTGTATTTTCCAATTTTACCCTTAATCATTAGATAAAAAAATTCATTACCCCTTTCAATTATCAAGGGCCGTTAATCCAAATGTTTACCCGGTAAAACGGCATTGTATGCAACAATTTACTTGATAAGTATTTATCGGATAAGATTCTTGGTCTTTATCATGTTCATCTAATAAGATCAATGACCTAATAAGCTCTCATTAGGTAAGGGTTCAGTATTAAAACATAATGAAAATCTTTGAACATGGGAAAGTACAAAATCAAACAATGCATTTATGTAACGAAATCAATTGAAGTGATTCAAGTTTAGAAAAGAAATTGCTAATTAAGAGAATGAAAGGTCCAATGAGCTTCACTTCCAACTCTTGGCATGGTTTGTGTCTTTGAATGGATGTCAACTTTGAATGTAGCACCACACATTGCTCCCTCACTATCAATTCTTGAAATGGCTTTCATTTTCTGTTTTGGATGCTCAAAGCTCATTAACCCTCCTTCGGTGTGGTACATGCACCCTGAAATATCGTCAATCAAGACATGTTAACGGGTTCTTTACGACAAGTCTTTGATCTCGACCAATCCAATATGTTTCTTGGTGTAGGATTGGTGAAGATCGGTACTTGGATTGTTATGTATACATCATAAGAGGGAAAAAAAAAAGACGAAAATACCCTTGAAACCTGTAACAAATAGGAAGAGTTTGGATCCTTACCGGTTGGAAATGGAGCAAATGACTTGAAGCAACTAGACTTTATGACCCCCAAGTCGTCGGAAATTACAACAGAGCCATCAACGGCTATACCCCAGAAAAGCTTCACTCCTCCATCAGCACCCTATGGATTTCCATATTAACGAAAAGTCAGGAATGTCCTCTCTTTTATTATAATATTAGGTAACACGTGGGATGCAAGAAAGAACTTACAAGTGAGATAAAGACAGATTTAGCCTTGAGATCATAAAGTATAAACCCGAAACTACCCTCAAGTTCCTTGAGAACCGAGTGGGCCGGGTATGGGCCACGGTCCCGGAGGGTCTTATAAGCTTGAATGATAAACATGGGCTCATTAGCTAGCTTGGTTAGCCCGTACTGCTTGTTAAGGGCGCATAAGTTGTTTAAACCTCCCAAGAATATGCAGTAGATGTCATCCACGCTACAGAACAACCTGCAAATTAATTAACGCATTTCATCAAATTAAAACACATTTTTATCCAAAAGGGTATAACTCTAAATACTTAAAACTTTACAATTACCTTTGGTGGGGTAGTGGGGTTTGAGAAGAAGGGCTAAAAGCCAAAGAAACATCTCCAAAAGTCATGGAGAGAGCATTGAGATTGGAAGACAAGAAATGGTTCAAAGGGTCTTGTTTTTGATCATGTTGATGTTGATGTTGATGTTGGTGGGATGAGATGAGCTCCTTTGGTGCATTCACCAATTCTTTCTTGAAAATACCCAACATTTTCTTGAAATTGAATATACACAAAATAAGATGATATGGATTTGTAGAGAGTGATTGTAGGAATGGTGGATGTTGGAAGTGTTTGTATATGGATTGGTATTTATAGTGTCATATTTGGTTGGTGGGGGGTGGGG